TAAGCAGACTCTGAAAATCCTCTTTAATAAGTCAGTTATGTATTATTTCGCTCAGCGGCTCTTCACAGCTTGTTTCCTTATTTAAAAGTTGAGTCACAGAATGAAAACCAGCCGTCACTTGTCGAGTCGATGCTCACCGGGGGTCATGTGCTTGTGGCTGCATACCGATACAGACAGGACTGAACGTGCTGAGCTGCTGCTGCTAACAGGTACTAATGCAACACACGGGGCACCGAGTGTGTGTGTGTGTGTGTGTGTGTGTGTGTGTGTGTGTGTGTGTTACCTGAGTGGCGGTGATGATAGGGACCCCTCCTATGATCTCAGTCTTGTAGGAGACCTGTTTCGTGGCTCCCAGTGCGTCCTGCTGCGTCTCTGCGTGGACAGTGTGGCCTTCACCGGGCTTTGGCACCTGAAGCACAACAAGACGTTAACCACAGTCCACAGTTTAAATGACTTCATCTTTTTCTAATCTTTTCAAAGAACTTTCATCTTGTAAATCAGCGTCTTTTCAGGGTTTTTCTCTAAATCTTCATTCAGTAAAAGTTGATCATAGACAGAATGACATTTTCCAATGAAAGATCTATTTTTGAATATGGTCTGGAGCACACATGAGTAATAAACATGATAAATAAATAAATAAAACAAAGAAGAGACACTGGAGGTTTCACACTGCTCTGAATGACATGTTCTCTATTCTCACTCTGCTGCCAGAAAAACTCAGCACAGCAGCAAATGTGGATTCATCTGCTGAAATCACACAATTCTTCCTGTTTGAGTGATGTTTGGAGAAAGCTACAGCATCCAGCTGCTTCAGGAAATTATTGAACCTTTTAAAAATAAACCAACACACGTGTGACTGGTTTTTAAGATTTAAGAAGGAACCACTGGACTGCAGACGAGATGAATGATTCACAGTTTGAAATAATAACTAAAGGATTCCTGACTCTTCTCCTCTCTTGTCCCCTTTACGCTCTGTTACGTCTGAACTGAACTGACTCTGGCCTGATGGCTGATTTTCCATCTGCTGCAGCCTGAGGCCGACGACAGAGCCACGTATGACAGCCGGAGAAACAGGGTCACCTATTGATCCGTGTGTGAGAGTGATGAGTGAGTGAGTGAGTGAGTGAGTGAGTGTGTGAGTGAGTGAGTGAGTGAGTGAGTGAGTGAGTGTGTGAGTGAGTGAGTGAGTGAGTGAGTGTGTGAGTGAGTGTGTGAGTGAGTGAGTGAGTGAGTGAGTGAGTGAGTGTGTGTGTGAGTGTGAGTGAGTATGTGTGTGGGGGGGCTCACAGTAATCTTGGTGGCGTTGTTGAGAACACTGATCCATTCCACTAAATCCTGCTGGTCGTTGGCTTGCAGGTAAAACTTCCTCATTCCTGCATTTATGACTTTAGAGAGAGAGAGAAATAAAAAGAGGGAGGAATGAAAAAGTTTCGTTTTGAAACATTAAACACAGAAGTAAAGTAAACGAGACAATACAGGAGGAAGAGGAGAAATACACTGATGCAAATCATGAGCTAAAAATATCGCTTGTTTCTGGTTTCTCAGAGTCAGAGGATGTAAATCACACACACACACACACACACACAC